GAATACATAATTCTGGTTTATTACGCGAGGTCTCAATTGCCATTGTTGCGAACAATAATTTTGTTTAAAATTCGAATTGGAATTCTTCCAAAACAGCTACAAGCTCTACAATGGAGGGTCGTTTAAAAAGATGATTCGCATCTGAACTTGCACTTCAAATTTAGCACAATTTAAAAAGAAAAAGAGAGAGAAAAAGGAAACAATCGAATCAATTATTGCCAATCAACTCGATTTTTCTATCCGTTAACACGCGGATGCCGCAATAAATCGATTTATTCTTTTACAAATTACAAGTTTACATCGTTTAGAGTTTATAGATTACTAAATAACAATTCAATTTGCATAAAAACATTATCGTTATCGCAGTTATTTATTATAAAATATTCCAGGTCGATTCTATGAGATAAATTACTACTATTATTGTATAAAATTTATTGTGTAGAGATCCTTGATGAAGCATTCTGAATACAAAGCCATAATTCTGAAGGTCTTCCCTAATCAACAAATCAATACACCAGAATTACTACAAACCTAAGCATTTTCTCCAGAAGACAACGTAGAAAAACCCTTTCACCTCATATATACATGACAAGAATCATCGAAGCTTGAATATTTTCAACTTTATCAGAATATCTTCCATAAAATACGTGTTTAATATTTTAAAATATTTATGGATTGACGTTTCGGATCAGTTTTATTTTCGATTGCCATCACAGTTACTAGACATAATAATCAATCTTAGTTATTGTGATGTAATAATCAATTAAATTCATTATTAGTGTGACGTAATTAAAGCTCAATGTTACCGCGACGTAATAATTGAAATCATCGGTATTCTCGACGTAACAATTACTTAAATTCATTGTTGTTCTGACGCAATAATCAATTAAACTCGTCGTCACTGCAAAGTAATAATGAATTAAATACATTGTTATTGAAAGGTTGTTTCACTGAAATATCTCAGAATGATTTAATAATAATAAAAATTCTTTAATTATATAAAAATATTAAGCATTAAATTCCTATATTATATATCAATTAACCCAAATTACTCTTTTATTATTAATAAGAAAGGACAGATATATATCTATAATAGGCAAGTGTTTCATTAAAAATAATTTAGCTCTGTTGATACAGAAGATTAAACAAACTCAGAGATACAAATTACTGTATTGAAAATGGAGAAGCAATAAAGATTAACTTACACAAGATTGTTCTATATTCATTTAATTCAGTGACTTAATTTTCATTTACAACGTCAACAAACACTATCATCGAATGTAATTTCATCGACGCTTCTTTCTACAAGCTAATTTTAGCAATTTTTTTTAATTGTTAATTCGAAAAATTTGTGCTTTAAAACACCGCAAACGACTAAGAAAATATGCGAATTTCTCTACAAACTCATATTTTTTCACTAACTTCATCATCAATACTTACATGTTGTTTATCTATATAGATATACAGCTGATCTGAAAGTTGTGGTAAAGCTAATTTCGCGAAAAAAAATATATATATATATTTAATAATATTTTATTAATTAACTAATATATATTTAATTTATTAATTAATATTAATAATAATTTGTATTTAATTAATAATATAGGCTATATTATATATATATATATAGGCCTATATATATATTCTTTTAAAATTTGCGCATTCAATTAATTTGTAAATTAAATTAATCGAAGAATTTAAAAATGTTTCCATTATATACACACAGTGGCCCTAAAATCAAGTAACCGTGTATTGTTTTTGTGTGTTCCACTTACAATTGCCAATGTGAACGGTAAAATCAACTTAGAATGCGTGTTTTTATTTTACGGAATTGGTGGAAACACGATAAAAATGTGATTAAGAATGAAATTTAAATTTTGTGATGTTAACTTAGTTTTGGGCTACTCCATATATAGTATATATACATAACTTCATAAAAATGCTTCTAAAAACTTCCAGAATTCATCTATAAAACAGAATAAGTTTCAAGCACATGTATACAAGTGTATGCTTTTATCGCATAGCTTCTAAAGCACCCTTTGAGAATGTACTGTACCTACAAAAAAACAAATCAATAAAAAATGCGAGCGTAAAAACATGCCTAAAGAAATCGTAAATATCGAGAAAAATCCAAAAATAGCAAAAATCACCTCTACAAAACGGCAAAAAATAAATGTAAACACCTGCTTATAAGTTAAGTGAAAAAAAGCACTCCCCAAAAAATTGTACCCCTCGAAAACAAAAAGAATGAATCAAGAAGGATCCACGTATAGAACATGCCACTTGATCCAATTAATAATGCAGCATGGGAATTGTAAACAAGATCTCAAATGCAAATTGTCTGGCAGCCCACATAAAGTTGTAAATCCTCCGTAAACAATTGAATATTATTATTTAAACTTTGCATTATTACAGTGAAAAATCTACTCTTTGACTATAAAATCAATCTTTAAAGAAATGGCACGAATGGTAAATTAGTAAGGGCTACTCAATCGTTAATACGTGAAAGATGTATATTTTTGAGGAATATTCTATTCTAACAGTGTAATTTCTATGTAAGGTTTCTTTTAAAACGTGTAATGATCGATAGGGGGAAGATCTTGACGATAACTCTAGCGAACAATGAAGGAGTGCACCTAAGAGACAGTTTATCAGCGGATGTTGGTGGAGTCTGCGCGACCGATGATGCAGCGCTTGTCAAACAGAGCAAAACAGGAAGACAAGCGAAGGGATAGAAAAAATAAAAATAATAATAATACAATTTAAATAATTTATTCGAGAACAATCGCAACTTGTATTAATTCTAAACATGAATACCACTCGCATACACTGGCGTTACTCGAAGAATCATTGATTTTAAATGGAAATTACTGTTAAAAACTGGGTGAAAAGGCATAAATTTTTTGCGTTTAAGCAGAACTTCTGTCCTTAAAAGTCTGTTTTAATGATTTATTTTGTATTAAATTAGCAACGATCGATAAAAACCTTTTCGTCTTGGCGAATATTAATTGTGAATTCCGGTGCCGCGGCGGATCTTAATTGGATTTTCGTAGGGGTTTAGAACTGTGAAACCGGAGGAATTTAGCTTTTTTCACATTAAAAATTTCCTTGAATAAAACTTACGAGTCCTTGAATGTTAAAATGTTAAAAGATACGAAGGATGTAAGGAGATTTGCTGTATCATCTTTGATATTTTCTTTGTAGCAACGTGAACCCGCTTCCTTATCTCTTCTTATACATTGTTCGCCCTTCAATAATATCTAATCCAAAGTTCGACTTTTGTTAGAAAACGAGGGCAAAAGGTGCGTTAAAAAAGTAGATTATATTTTTAATTCACGTTCTAAACGTATAAAATTTGAAGAATTTTAATTATATCGGGGCTAGAGATTGCATTTATACACTTTTTTAATATAAAAACTGTTTTTTTAATATGTTGTTAAAACTGAAATTCCGTTTAAAAATTCGCATGAATTGTAGAAAAAATGGAAATGATAACATATGGCAAGTTAAATGAGATTCTATCATTTCACGTGTGTGCTTTGCATAGGGTAAAACATACGGTGTAAGTTGTGGTTGCCGCAATCTACATCTTACGCAACCCGTTAATTTGTTCGAACGTGTCGAATTTAAAGGCTCGGCATGAAATTTTTGCATAAAAATAATTAATTTGAGTACAGACAAAAAAGAAACTTCGATAAAATATATATTAGTTCAATGGGTGCCACAATCATCAGAAACAAAACTAGGCTAAATATGTCATGTAAATAAAAATAGCAAGGATTAAGAGAATTTTCAACGGAAATAAATAACGCTTTACACAATTATTAAAAATAAATCCAGGTTAAAATATTTAATAAAGCGGCAGATGGTTTCCATCATGCATCATCGCAGTTGGCACGTTGCATCGGCCAACGATTCCACACACACAGAAACTACACGGCAAACAAATGGATATTTATGACGTCACACGAGGAGAAACTGTTGTGAACTTGGTTACATATACAGCAATAATCGATACTTTAAAAGATCAATTACGCCTTACGAACTCAAATATCCGATTTATGGCCTTTGATAAATGCTTAGTGTTTAAATGTAGTTTTGATTTTTGCACCCTTCTTCGGCAATGGGGTCGGTGCAAAGGGGGATCCGTAACGAGTTTTTGAGTCGGAGAATTACAGAAAACCCCCAAGAAAATCGGGTGTACATTATTAACCCATCGTGAGCCGAACGGTACATTAGTCATGTCGAAGATGATCGATCGATAGAAGTCGTCACAGCTCAGCAATCTTCGGAGTAATAATCGCAGGAGCTGCAAGCGGATTACCACTTACGATTTGTAATGCTACAATTGAGTTTTTAAGTCCGTACGTTTGTCTGTTTGCTTTAAAAATACACCGGAAATTAATTTAAAAGAAATATTCTAGTATTAAACCGGGGTATAGAAATATGAATATTTCGCTTTGGTAAATATATATCTATATACATTCAGTCATCTAGATCGCTTACATACCGGATTGTATTCATGTGGAGGATTTTAGAGCGGATCGTAGAACCTGCTTTATCTGGAACGTACCACTGCAGAGCAAGGGGTGTTGGTACGAGAACCAGGATGTGTGGCAGTTGACGTCCACTTTGCTCGACACAGGAAGAGAGCTTAAATCACTCTGCTATATGAATATACTCGATAGAATAATATATAATATCGTCCGTACGCGTTACGCAACGCTCCGAATTAGCGCGTATCTTCTATACAAAGCGACGCGCCGGTGCATTAGTTAATTACAATAATCGTTGTTCTAATTAAAGGCACGTGGAGTTTAAAAAAAGCTGATAGCAATGAAGAAAATAAATGAAAATTAAAAAATAAAATTAATGACAATGATTCGGGAATTAGGAGTCAAAATGCCACACGCACAACACGAAAATCGTAAAGGTCATCTTAAAGGCATCGGTACCACTCCAGTTTGGAATGACACCAACAACATTGGATAACGTTAACGTTGTTTGTGTGTGAATGTGTATGTCGATGCCGCACTGCAGTTTACGGTTAAGCGATAGGTACAGTACTCTACTACTCTGCACACGACCTTATTCTCTCCCTCTTAAACACATATACACAGACATATATCGAAGGGCATCGAGCCAACCGAAGATACAGGTATAGGAAGAGCGAGTAAAGAGCGCCCCAAATTCCAAGGACGTCATTAATTACCACTCAGGATATTCGTCATGTGTTCGCTTATATAAGTAGTGTAATTGATCGCGAACTGGTAACACGATGCACCTCGTTATGCTATTATAATGATGAAAGATTTCAAAATAACAAATTCGTACGATTTATTATCGGTGCCTTCTGTAGTTTACGTCGAGTTTTGTGTAGTCACGCGTGAGGGGGGTTTAGCAGCAATGGTTTAATCAATCGTAAATGTTCGATTTTTGTTTAAAAAATCGTTGGCAAAGCGCTGATTGCAGGAAGACGAAGCACGATAATGGACCACGTACGCTAAGTAGAGGATGGGTTATGCAGATGATGGTACCAATAGGGGGGGAGTAATTAGCTCAAACTAACTCTGGATCATCTTGTTAAATATCTCGGGCGTAAAGAGATAAGTATAAGCGTGAAGTTTCGTTGCCGTCGACGTTGCTCTCCAGCATTTAAAGAGAGATCTCCAGAAGCGCATGGGATTTGCCACTTTCCCAATAAGGATGTGGTACTTCGTTACTTTAAACTGAACCATGGCCAGAAGGAATCGATAGGAATGGTGGCAGGGACCACGCATCAAGCGGGATAGGCGTGTAGAGCGTCAAACCAATCCCACCTTCGAGTTCCGCAGATCCATTCTGGTTGGTCTGCAGACTCGCAGCAGAGTTGGGAAGACAAGATGGCGGACGGGCGCTCATCCGTGCCAGCAATCGTCCAACTTCTGTCCCTCGGTTACGATTGTTTTCGACTTTGTTACCAAGAGTTAAACGGAAACGTTTGTTAAATGTCGGATTCTTACCTCTTTCCGTCGGACGGCCGTCGAAAGAATAAAGGTAAGGATGATCTTTAAGGTTGGCTTTTGTTCTAGATCTCGACCACGGCCACCATATTGGATTTCCGTGGATCGTCATCGGGACTGTTAATCCAGGAAGAGATTTTCAAATTTTATTAAAATCGCGTCTCGTACCCATCCATTTCGCACGTTTTAATAAACGTTATGAAATTTTCATGCATTTTCTGGAATTTTGACGTCGTTAACCTTCAAGAATCTTGTTTCGGGAATGGTAGGACCATGCAGTTGCGGAATGTTGTAGGAAGTTGTCCGCCATTTTTATGTTATTAAGGTTCACAAATTATTGTTTTTCCTTTTTGATTTCGATTATAGAAATGAATTTATTTAAAACTTAATAAAATTTATTTGAAATTTATTTATTGTTTTCTGCTCGTTTTTCCGCAATATCTCGAATAAGAAATTTTGGCGCCATTATCTTTTCATCTGCGCAAAATTTATCTTCAAACATGAAAATTTCTTTGGAATTGTTGCTTTGTTTTACAAATAATTACGATTTTAATAATGATAATTAATTTATTATTGGAGGATCTGTTGAAGAAGTTTTTAAATTAATTTTTCAACGGGAATTATCTGAAAATATATAATGGAATTTTGATTTTGAGCATAAAATATTCCATATGAAATTGAAATACAATAAATTAAAATCATTTTTTAAAATACGATTCGGGCTTTATTGTGTTAACTGTAATAAATATTTAATTAATTGTATTGTAATGACATTACAATATTACCAAATTATGTAATATTAATAAAGAGCCTTTTGTGCTTTTGGACATTACAGACAGAAAAATATTGTTCAACATAAATTGCTGTATATAATTGGGCATGCTTTAACAGCATGAATAAAACAGTGGAATTTTTACATTTTTGTATATTAATATTAGAATAATAATTAAATTTACCATGACAATTTATTATTTACTGTTAAAAGAACCCTTGAGCATTATTTTCATAATGCCCAAGCACATATTGTGGATATAGAACCATAAGCAGCTAACTCTAAATTTTAGTTTTTCTACAATAGAATATTCCTATTGTATTCAACATATTTGAAACTGTAAGCAGATATGTAAATTTCCAAATGATTACATAAAATATTTTTGGGTAGTCTAATTTTCAAATCTCATTTTCTGAAACTTAGTTTTGTAGTTGGCTGATTACAGTCTGAAACTTAGTTTTGTAGTTGGCTGATTACAGACTAATACCCATACTATACACCTCTCTGACCTTCCCTCCCTGTTTGTGGTGATGGATGGATGAACTTGTTATATTTTTTTACTTAAACTTATTGATTGATATAATTAAAAATATAATTTTCAATTGTTTAAGCATATGAAAAATTCAATTATTAAATATTCAAGTTAGTTTATTGATTAAAAACACATCTGCATAATGCATTGTTTGTTATATTCCCATTTAAACTATAAAACAATTTTGTAAACAATTGAAATTCAATAAATTAAATTCTTCACTGTAGTTAAATATTAATTTATTCTCTTGTCAATTTTTATTATGTTCATGGAATTATAATATAAAATTTATTTTCTATGTTTTGGAGAAATTGTTTTATCAACTATCCATACAAAACAGACTATTTCTTATAAATACTGCTTTAATAATTTCATTGAATAACATTTTTGCTAAATAATATTTATACAATTAATATTATTTGGTTAATATATATCTTGAATTGATCAAAAGACATAGTGAGATCTCTTATACAGGAATTTTTATAAATTGATTTTCTAGTGTAAAAAGTTTAATTCTGTAATGCATTAAAGAAAAGAGTTTAGAATTCAGTTATAAAATTGGAAGTATTTTCTTTGATGATTGAAATTGTTTATATTTTGAACCTCAAGTGATTAATACATAGCAATATTGCTACATACTATTGGCATTATGTCTGAACTGAGATTCACACACTTCTCTGTTGCTTGGAGATTAAAAGTGTCTAATCTCTTTTTGGATACTAAAACCATTATAACAAGAGGATGGAGTAGAGAAGTTGCTACTCCACCCTCCTGTCATAGATTAAACAATTTCACTCATTCCCTCCTCCCACTACAATAATGACCACATTTCATAAGAGTCCTTTAATCTCCTTTAATTGATTCCTTATTTATCTCCAAACATTCTGAAAGTCTTTTAACCCTACAACCTCAAAAAACCCTTAATGTAATCAGTTTTTGCCATCCATTTTCATACTGTCACCAAGGTCTCTTCTTCCTTCCCTTTTAAAATCTTCAAACCTTAAAATGGAGAAGTGTACAAGAACATATAATTGTATATATATCAAAATTTGATTTTATGCAAAAATAAATATGGAACTAAATTTTAGAGTATGAATTTTGTTAAAGATCTTACATTAAAATAATTTTATGTTTAAGGTCATGATAATATTGTTTGGTATATAGCTCATTCATTACGCTCGAGAATCAATGAATATGTTTAAACTTTAAATAATTGAATCTGGTTATTTTTTTAGATAAATTTTCAATACTTATATAGCAAAGTATGGCAGTTCTTATGAATTTTATTATCTACCATTAGTTGTTAAGTAATTTGTGCTGTTAATTAATGAAGCTTTTCATGTATAATGTAAAGATTTTAGAGTTGCACAGATGACAAATATATTTCATTTTTTGTGCGCACTCTTAAAAGTACTGTACTTAAAGCTAAGTATTATATTCATTGAGAATATATTTCTATATTTCTAAGATATTTTTAGATTTTAAAAAAAATATTTTAGAAATAAATCACTTTTTATATTTTCCTTTTATATGAGCTATAAGTATAAAGCAAATACTTTTATTGTACAACTAATTAGCTAATGATACAGCTATTTGTTCATGATCAAGAGGAATGAATAAACTTCATACGTCTTGATCATGAATAAATAAAATTAAAAATTTTATTTATTCATGTTTAGAAATTGGTTTTCTAAACAGTAATTAAATTGGTTTTCTAAACAGTAATGTTTAGAAAACCAATTTAAAAGTTTTTGCATAATAATGCTTTCTCTATAATGTAATATTGCATGTGGGACAAGAGAGCTTTAGTTTATAAAGAATTTACAAATTTTTAATACTTACAAAAAACAATAATTAAAATTTTAATGAGATCAATTAAAGAATAACTTTTACTTAATTAAGTTATTAAGTTTATAAAAATTTCATGAATAATAATGTTCTTACACTTACAGTAAAACTTCTCAAACATCTGTGGCTCAAATATTTAATTTGAAGAAATTGAAGCACTTGGTAGGTAGGTATCAATAGAATAGTTTAGAGATTTAATATCTCGTCTTAAATTTTCCCAAAGTCAAAGGTTTTCATTGTCCCCTAACACTGATTTATGTTACTTTCAACTTTCCTGACTTGAATTTCATTCTTTGTTTTATTCAAAATGATCTTAATTATCTGATTTCCATAAAATATTCAAACAGTTTTATCTACTGTCCAACAGCCATTTGCAAACAACATTCCAGTTCAAAGTGAGATGACCTCTCACTTTAGCTCAACAATATATATAGCACCTGCAAAGCTGTTGAATTCCATTAGTTACATTGAACATTTTGCTGAAAGGTGTTATATGGGCTGTTTAATATGAAACAAACACTATCATAGTTTCTTTATATAATGCAAAACAAGTAAAAATACAAATCTATCCGGAATTGGCATTTTTTACTATTGTTCTCCAACTTGAATCATCTGTAACTCAAAAAGTTATTTCGTACTCTATAGAGCTTCGAGATAGAGAAGTTTTACTGTATTAATTTTATGTATTAGTAACCTATCTTGCTTATTTTATCAGATATATATATATGTGATAAAATTCCATTTTATATGGATCTGATCCATATCTATAAGCAAAATCTGATATTTAAATTTTAAATATTATTAAGTTAAATATTAAGTTAAAATTTACATAGTTAAATTTTATTATTTTGTATGTAATCTTGTTTCTCTTAATTTGGTATGCGATATTCTATGTTCTGTAACCTCGTTCTTTTAGAACGAGAACTGACAGCACTGCAAAGTATAAAGTTTAGTTTTTAGTGTGGATCTCAAAGTGAAAAGATGTCTGTGTGTCAGTCCTTTTGTTCCATACCTACACATTTTATATTTTGTAAAATGTGTGGGTATCACTTTTATATATCTTTAAATCATTACTTTAGTTTAAAAAATTATTTATTAATTATAAAAAAACTTTCATAAAAAGTTTTATCCTATTTAAAATGCTCTTTATCACTATTAATAAACAGATCATGTTTCCATTTTTATATAAATAAATGACATATTGGAATATGTTTAGTTGCTACTTTAGTAATTGAGTTTGTTTACGTTACTGTGAGAGTAGATGATTTATAGGTTTGTCTTCAGTCTAATCTCTTGAAAATTAATTTCCAATCTACCTTTAATGATGTTATAATTTATAAAATTCCTTTTAATGTTGTTTTAAAATACAAATACAATAATAAAACATTCCAGTTTTTCCATCATATTTTATGTTTAGCATATCAAATTTTTTTAATTTAAAAATTTACATGAAAATGTGTTTGATTAGATTTATTTTGCATCATTCCAAATTTATTAAACTTTATTTTGATAAAAGTAGTTGTGATAATGCTACTTTAAAGTACTACTAAAACAACATGATGTCTATCTTCAGCTCCTGAAACTAAAGGTATTAAAAATAATTGCCAACTTACTTATACAAATCCCTTGCTTTTTGCAAGGGATTTCAACAAGTAGTTTTAGTAAGTAATATGTAAATTAGTAATAACTTAAACTATAAAAAAAATTAGAATCCAACAGGAATTTTTGCAAAATTCTTCAAAAGTTCTTGCTGAACTGTAGGTCTTTGTGGTTTAAGTTGTTTTAAGTAAGGACTTGTTTTTATTTTTAGTAAAGTAAATATGAGGTGGATGACAGTATGTAAATAAGCTATGCTTTTTAATAGATTACAGAATTTTGTTATAACTTTATTAACTTCATTTCTGTTAGCAGGCTCGTTCATCAGACAATGCATAAACTACATATTGGCAGAACAGAAATAGAAAATAAGCATTATGTAATTATATTTGTCATAAAAAAATATTTAAATTACTTCATTTCCTTTTCTTTTTACTTCATTATTAAATTCAAGAACACAAATCCTTGTGACAAACAAGGAACAATAAAATCATTATTACAAATGTTTACATACAAATTATTTATTTTTGTTTCTTTCTGACTTAAAAATCCCAGATTTGATCCTGTACACCATGATTCCAGGAATGTCTTGGCCAAACTTGGTTGCATGATAATCTTATCTAAACAGCAGTTACATAATGCAGTATTTTGTGTTAGTTGAAAATACAAACAAATGTAGCATCATAATATAAATAAATTTCATTTTAGTATTAAAGATATAAATAAAGAAATATTATTAGAATGTAATCATTATTCTGAAGTTTTTTGTCTCATTTTCTCAATTATTTCTGTAACTTTTATTTGCTGCATTAAAATATACATAATACAGCTCTCCCTTAATAGTCTGACAGGTATGGGACCAAAGGGGTGTTGGATTAACACAGGACACTTTTGGTCCTGATTACTGAAAATAATTACATATTTTGCATTGTTTTGCTAGCAGTAGCTTACAATATTCCCTACTCCAACTGTTCGAACAGAACTGCTCACAGAAAAGACACGAAATGTGTGTCATCGTGTAAAAATTGGATGGGGAGATTCATGTCGCAACATGCTTCTGTGCAAGCAGACACGTAACGGGGATGGGTACCTTGACAGGAGGTGCGTCGGACTACTAAGCATGTCGGATTAAAAAACGTCGGACTATCAAGGGATAGCTGTAGTCATATTTTACCACTTGATGCATTTCTGTCACATTGTAAAGATCATTTGAACATTTTTATATTATACTTATGACATGACAAAAGTTGAAGGTTTGTTTATCTTAAAAAATTATTATATGCATTTGCTTTTCTTTTTTTTAACCATCTCCAATGATCTCTGCTTGTCTTGTAGAATCCTTTCTTTCTCAATAAATTTCAATATTCACTGACTGCTATAATCCATTTTCTAATGTAACATGCATGTATTTCAGGATTTTATTTGTTATAGTTAGCATAACTTATCTTCAGTTTCATTTCTATAACGAATTTAAATTGATGATTTAATTTTATAAATTGTAATTTTCCTTTGTATTACTTTAAAGCAATGTACCACCTGCTCCTAGCATATAATCTTAAATTTCTAGAATACATCTGCTTTCAAATTAACTTTAAAACAGATAACTCACAGGTTGCTCGGGACATTATTACAGTACAAGTTATAAATTTAAGTATAATTACAAAGTAGATACTTTATAGAAGTATTCAAAAAAAATAATAATAATAAATTATTACATTCAAAATAGCATTATAGTTTTTTAACATAAATCAAAATCATATTCTATATATAAATAAAACATTCATCTTAACAAGTTTCAGAAAGGTGACAGAATTATTTACACAATGAAGTATAAAAGATAGGAATTACTTTTACTTTCCTAGATGGCCTTAACAAGGGAAAATATTAGAATGGTGTCAAATTTGACCCTCCGAGGTTTTGCAAATCTCCATGTTTGGAGACCTGAATCCAAATAAGTCAAAAAATGACAAAAAAATTTTATGGCTGTGTGCTCATGTGTTGGTGTCTATTTTGCTTAATATCTCATGATGGGGTAAAGTTTAAGTAATGAAATTTGGCATGATGGCTTGTATATGATGGGCATTAATGCTTATTAAATTTTGGTGGTTAAAGGTGGCGGGATGGGGAGATAAAGGGGGTCTTGTGTATCTTGAGTAGGGTCAGACTTAATGACAATTTTACTCATTATTAGCATTTACAATTTTTTTATAAAACACATCCCTACCCCCAAAACTGTGCTGTTTGCTGAACATTTTTAAAATTTTGCAGGGAGGTTTGTTTATTAGGGAGATTGATACTATTAAGTTTTGGTGATTAAAGGGGTCGTGTGTATCTTGAGTAGGGTCAGACTTAATGATAATTTTACTTGTTATTAGCATTTGAAATTTTTTTATAAAACCCATCCTTCCCTACACTCTAAATTTAACTTTTTACCATTTTATAATAGTTAAAAATATAAAAAGTTTTTATAAAATAAAATATCATAACAGATGGCATCACCTAAATTTTAAATGTTGCCAGGAAAGTTAAGCAATTTGTCGCTGGATTTTTTATGTAAGTTTAACTTAACCGAAAATAGTGTGAAATTCTATTTTGGTTTCCGATTTGACTGCCAAATCCAATTTCAGTCAGATCTTACCTGTCTGTGAAAAAGTAACAATGCTGGATCTGATACCTGNATTCATTCATTAGATTTGAAGTAATTAGTAATTGGAATTTATTATTTTGCTGCAAGGATAGGATATTTTTTTCACAACTGTGCAACTTTTTACAATTTCACAATTTCTTAATATAAAATTATCAATTGAATAGTAAAAATTTTATGAGAATTAAATTTCAACTATGCATATTGACTAATTTTGCATTAAAGCTGATTGAATTTACAAGTTTCTTAAAAATTATTTTAAAAAGTAATGCTTACTATTTGTTTGTAGATAGTCAATGCAAATCCTTTTTTCTGTGTATAAATAAGTATTATTTTTGTACTAAACTTAATCACTTCTGCAGTTTTGTATTTCTTTTGTTGCATGATATAAATCCCTCTGAACAGTCTTAGTCTTATAAAATGCATACAATGCCACCAAATACAGTTTTAGAGTCTGGGGGCTGCAAATGAAAAAGGTCTTTTTTTGTATACTTGAAAATAACTCATTTGAATTTTACATTTATTTCTTATTTAATGAAGTTACAGAAATTTAAATATATTACAGTATTTCTACATATTATCACTAAATTTTACAATAAAATTTAAAATTAGAGAGATTAAAAATATTAATATCTTTTATTAAAAACTTGGTGTTTTCTGGCAGAACTGCTTTGCTTCATTGTACTTCCACCCTGATCTTAAGAAATTGCACAAAATATTTAAAACAATAATAAATTTTGACATAGGTAAATTGCTGAGTTTAAACATGAGCACAAATACTTTAATTATGTTCTGTAATATAAATATGTAGTTTTTATTCCAGTGATACTTTTCTAACATATAGAACCCTAAAATCCTATTAATTAAGGAACATACTAAGGAACTTCTTTCCGTATCCCATCCTCACTGCTGTTGAGTTAAAAGCT